ATGTGTGTCATGTGTGTTGCTGCAGGGTATTTTTTATTTTATTTTTTATCTCTGTTTGTATTGAATCATTGGTATGATTTATATCTGCCTGCACCCTAGAAGAGTCAGGGAAAACTATCTTGTGAGGCAAGAATTGACAGATGCTATGTGCATTTTAGGCCAGGGGGTGGCACTGCGGTACTGTGGTAGAGTGTGAGTAGCTCAATTCTCATCTCATAACGCCTGATGACGTGGAAGAATCCAGAAAGATCTACAGAGTCTCATTGTGTTTTTCTGACACTCTTATCAAGGCTTCTTCTTAACCGTAACCAGAGGTGTCATAAGTATTAATGTTCATTACTCAAGTAGAAATCCTACTGTTTAAGAACACTTTTGTAGAAGAGTATAAACTTAACATTTTTACTAAAGTAAAACTGTAAAAGTACCATTTTTAAAACTACTTAAGGTAAAAAAAAAAAAAAAAATTAATAAAAAAGGAAAAGAAAATCAGGAAAAATGTTTAGAACAAATGCTTTACTGTATTACCCTATTAAAGGAACATTTTTCTACAATTCTGGATGTTAACTTTCTTCAATTTAATTTTCTGACTTATAGCTAATGGTAACAGTGTCAAATTTAAATTTGTGTGATCTTGAAAAAAAAAAATGTATTTTGATATGTGGGGAACAACAAGTTGGGGCAGCACCAAGTCCAACCACAAAGAAATTAATTGTCTGGATGAAACAAATTATTTTGATGTTTTTTAAGAACATTTTTACATACCAACAAAACTAATTACTTCTTTTTTAAATGTAAATAGTTTTAGAAACTGGAGATAATTTAAAAAAATGTAAGGAGATAAAGTAAAAAGTTGTCTAAAAAAGGAATTACTTCAATAAAGTATAGATAGCCAAAATTGTAGTTAGGTAAGGTAATAAAGTATTTTTAGTTTGTTATTTGACACCTCTGATCAGTGCCCTGGTGCTGTCCAGCAGTACTTGCAACAGAGAGAATCGTCCTGGATGAGGATACTGATGCAATCCACTTGTTTTCTTAGATGAAAAACTTTTAACTAGTCTGGATGATTTGAATTAATTGTCTCTGTAAGTTGCCTTGAAATGACATGCTGGAGCTTATTAACTAATTGAATTGACAAGTTACAAATCCGTCCTTTTTGATAAAGCTTACAATTGGAGATATCTCAGGTTGTTCTGAGCTACAGTATCTCTATCGTTATGCTGCTATAGGCTTAGTCTGCTGGAGGACATAGGGAACACTTTTTATTATTCTGCTTCATTCTACTTCTATTCACCAATTCTGCAGTATTTTTTTGTTTGAACTCTACATATGAATAATAGACATGTCAAGCAACTTCAAAACCATAGATGTTGAAAGGGTCTTACCTGAGCTCAGGAGAAAACTTCTCAGAACAGCTGGGAGCAGAGCTGTTAAATTGAGGACAACAGCTCCCTGTCAAACCCTATGCCAGCACCACTTTTCTGCCCTAACGCCCAAATCCCTCAATCACTATATAGAGCTGGGAGTATATAGTGGACTTTATCGTGAACTCAGTTAACTGACCGTTTGGACAGATGATCACTATCTTTTGATCCCCGTAGGTCACGTAACTCCACCTCCCTGCACAGTGCCTGCGCCATATTTGTTATCTGTCGGGCGATGTGACAACAAATCCCATGATTCCTTTGGAGGAGAGCTTCATGGGATTTATCTGCTCTTCTAGTCACCATGGATGATCACTACTTTTCAAGATGCATTGTGAGAAACGTTGAGTCTATTAATTTTTCATCCACTAGACACTCATTTAAAATGGCGTAACCACTATATTGTGCCCTATATTGTGGTCAGGGTGGACATTCGGTCACAGCCCCAGTCTAACCAGCGCTAACAGAATACAGGCCAAGCATCTTGCTATGAAACCAAACAGCTAAACTATAAAAGGAAGAGGATTAACTATGTTAGTTTTTTTACCAGTATAAGTATCTTTCACAGACAAGATCACAAGGCGCAGCCCTGACAATGAAGTTATTCATAGTATAAACAGAAGAATTACAAAACCATAAAATGAAATGCTGGTGAAGATTCTCAATTATCTAGGTCAAAGTCATTCCAAAAAAGTTAAAAACAATCCACTGGACTTTGTTTTCTAGTTTAAAGACGTTCCACTTCCCATCCTGGAAGCTTTTTCAATTCAAAATGTAAGAAATAGCGTTGAGTTCGAGGCTTTATACAGTAGCCCAACAAAGCCTTGTTTTTGCTTAGAGAACATACAAATTGTAACAGACAACGGGTCCACCCCTTTGGAATGGGGGTCATTTGTTACCCTGCAATACCTCATACCTGTCTATTACTCTAAAAGGTGTTTAACAACCTCCCTTTCAGAGACATAGGTATGGTGTATTGCAGGTTAACAAGGAAGCCAACCAACCGCCATTCCAAAGCGGTAGCATGGAAAGGGGTTCTGTGTTCTTCTCAAGAACATACTTGGCGAGGACTCTAGTCTGTACTCGCGTACTCTTTGTACTCTTTCCATTTTTTTTCCACCACATTCCACGGGAAAAACAGGCTGATATGTTTCAAAACTATGGATCATTTGGACTAGTTGTTCACTTTGGATCGCATCCAGGACACATGAAGATTCTTCAAGCAAAAAAAAAAAATTTCACCCACATTTCCTTTATTTTATGTGAAGAAAAACAAACATTTAGAACGTGTCTGTTTTTATTTGCATTATAATGGAATTTCTATCAAGGAGTAAACGTTATTTTCATAATCTTTGTTCTTTAAATGTAGATAATCTGTTTATTAGTTTTTGCTAAAGATTGTTGTGTCTCATCACATAGATGTCAGAATGTCACATGGGTACCGTTGTTAAGGCCGTTGCTATGGGGGTTAGAATTGAACTTGGCATTTCTCAGACCTTTGTGTTCAAGTCATTGGGAATGTATGGCTTGTATGCAGCTGTTTGGCGCTTAAACCCATTAGAAGTCTTAACTGACTGACTCTGCTGCAGGTGTTATGTTCTGTAGCAACCATTTTTATTTAAAAAATATATATTAAATTTTCTAGCCAGAAATCAGACGCCTTCTCTGGGGGAGGGAGGGAAGAAGGATAACCCTGATCACTGATCTCTATTTATTCCCTGGATTGCTAATAGCCTGTTGGTAGTATGGAGTTAAAGTGAAGCCACCAGCTGCCATATTGGTACTCCCTAGTTAGACTGGTCACAATGTAAACGATATGTGCGCTAAAGCATCAAACAAAAATGATGTCATTTTTAGGGAGAGTTTTAAAATAACGATTAATTCATCAGTTTGAAACACACTTGGTGTTTTTATAGCATAAGTAGAAAAATAGGCCCATCACATTGCATAGTCAGTATGAAGTCAATGAAGTCTCTAAATCATGTAATGTAACATATTATACAAATCAATCACAATAAAGTTAATGTGTTGATGGAGCATAATAATACAGATGTGCCAAAAGTCCTAAATTGATTATGTACATGTAATATATATGTATGTATTGATGACATTGTTAAGGTAATTACATATTTATGATATTAACTTTTTACATCGACTGAATAACTAGTACATGTCTTTTAAGGCTATAGTATATAATATAGTATTTTCCTATTTGCAAATTATGCATGAATGATGGCATATACTGTTATGCTGTGTCTGTGCATTAGCCTTTATAAGTGTTTGAGTTGCTTTTTATTTTTCGTCAATATAACATGCAATATATTTCAGCACATTACTTTTTCAAATGAGAAATACAACAAACAGTACAAAAACAGCATCATCCACTTAATAAATAATTACTACACAGAGATTTTACAGTGAATCACTTTCTATTTACTCTATTTTTTAACCTTGTCACAATGGAAAATTCAGTCAATGTCTTTGAGTCAGTCTGAGATAGCCAGACTAATGTTACTCTACATACTATACTATAGAATACATCGGGGTATATATTAATATTTTTTGTTAGTACATCCACTGACTGTGAAATTACTCGTGAAACGTCTTCCCACAGCCAGAAAACTGCAACTGCTTATTTTTGCAGTCAAATACTTCAGGAAGGAATTTTTACTGCGCATCTCTGTGGGAGTGGGGAGTACCAATATGGCGGCAGGTGGCTTCACTTTTTTTCAGGCAATCAGCATTCCAGTGAATAAATAGAGATCAGTGGTCCTGATCCATCTCATTGAGAAGGCTCCCTGCAGCCTGCAAGACAAGCCACTCTGAAAAAAACCGCCCCTCATGTGAAGGACATAAAATGCGCTTCAAATAAAAAAACTGTTTAATAGCCTAATAAAAGTATTTGAAAGACATAAAGTAGCCTTACAAAATAAAAGTATTATTTTTAAAGTACTTTATGAAATAAATAAATTAATCTGGAAATAGATACATAAATTTAAAATAGATTAAAATAACACTGTCTTAAAATAATTATTCAGTTTTACCTTAATGGTAACATTTATTTATAACACAGAAAATTGATTAAAAATTCATCAATAGCAGAGTTTTTTGGGTTTTTATATCTATATAATTCTGAATGAAAAGGCTCTCCATAGTTAACCACCCGCTCCACTAACTGCTCAGTAGGAATAAACCTTAAGACATTCCTCTACCAGCTGGTTCTCTGTGTTTTAGACTTTAGACAGATTTTATTTGTCATTTTGTTTACACAAGTGTGAAACAAAAATATATTTCGTTTGGAAAACAGCTCACTGGACAATTTCATCTTTTTAAAAGTGCAGCCTTGAAAAATAGTAAAAATGACTGTACATTTTTTTTTATTATTATATAATTTTTATTATTATTATTTTATCAACAAGATTCAATTGAAAGGCATTTATCATAACCTTTTTATTCATTTGACTGTGCATCTTTTTTTTTTTATTTATCTATTTTGCCAAACGCGGTCTGTTGGGGAGGGTTTCATTGTGTGATGCAGCAGAAGGAGGGGCCCTCTGGGGCCCCATTCATAGCTTTATTATTGTGGGACCGGAAGAGCGACCCTCGGACAGCTCTGTGTTATTATAGCTTACGTATTATTGCTTGTATTTTATAAAAAAAAAATAGTTTTATTCTGAAAAATTCGGCGGAATTTGCGGGTATATTTCCTCCACTTTGACACCGTCGCCGTTTTCACGTCTCCAACAAGCAAGACGTCAAGAGCCGCTCAGCGGATCCAGTCAGCGGGAAGCGCGTCTGCTTGTTTTTAAAGGTAGGAGGATGTTTCTCCCACAGACACGAGCAAAGCTGCAGAGATGCTGTTTGCTGTGGAGATCTGCTGGTGGATCTAGTGGAAGGTGCAGGTGGTGATGATGATGATGATGATGAGAGGGATGCGTGATGCGCGCGGGCTGATGGTGAGGCTGTAGGGAAGATGCCAAGTAGCGTCTTTTGTTCTCTGGTCGCTCAGATTGTCTACGTTTTAGAAGCAGGTGCGTCATGTTTTCTTATTTATGACCCCTGGGACTGATTGGAGGAGCTCTGCTTCTCTTCCATTCAACATAGATTTTTTTTTTGTCTAAAAGGCTGAAGCGTCTTTTTAATTTTTAAGGACCTGTTTTAACACTTTTATTAAGACAAAATATGTGACCCGTCTTACACCTGCTGTGACTGATCTACTAAGCATGACTTCACAGGATTCATACCTACAGTCATGAAATTAATACCTCAAGAATGAAAGAATTAATGTAACTGTTATCAATATATGACGGGTCATAGCAGGAGCAGATTTAGGAAATTAGGGTCCCTGGGCAAAGACAGGCAGGGGGCCCTCTGGACTGAGAAGACAACACATAAAACAGCCCCATTCTACAGATAGAGAAATAGAATAGACATCCATTATCTGTTCTAGGTTGTGTCCCTCTCTTCTTGTCCCTTTTCTTCTTGTTTTCCTCTCTATGTTTTGTACTCAGCTGACTTTTCATGCTGTCTCTAAAGGAATGAAAGATTGTTTCCAAGCACTAAGCTCACTTAGCTGATTGCTCCTTCTTGTGTTTCCAAAAAGGCCAAAGTAAATAACCCAGTCCTTCTTTTCACTGTAGACAAGCCATGATCTGCTTATCTGTTCTCCATTTTTCATTTGGATGAAATAATAGCTGCATGAATCATGACAGCAGATAAGATAGAGGAGAGCAGGAGGCGGGGTTACCAATCTACTCGCTCTGGAGAGCAGAGTTCGCTGCTTTTAGATGTTGTCTCCAAAGTCTCCAGTAGCAGAAAAAAGTTGCTAGATTTGGCGCTAGGAGCTTTTTAGAAATCAAAGTGCTAGAGGGGTCTGAAAAGTGGCTAAATATAGCGACTAAAGCGCTAAGTTGGCAACACTGCTCTTTGCATCGTTTGTTTTCAAATGGTTTGCTGCTGTCTGTTTGGACCTTTCTGAACATGTGCAGCAAATGGACTGATCCAATATTATAAGCCTTCTGATGGCATTTTAGAGAAAGAACTAATGTCAAAAAACATAATTAATGTGCACAAATACGGAATAGTTGTATTAATCATACATGTAAACAGAGTTTTATGGGGGTCCCAGGAACTTGGGGCCCTAGGCAACTCCCTAGTATTGCATAATGTTAAACCCCCCCAGGGGGGTTATAGGGCTGTCTTAGATTGCTCAAGGTGACAGAGACTCTAGGTTTAAATCCTAGCCTGAGGGGTTGCTTGATGTGCCTTAAAATCACATTTTTTATATTCCATTTCTGATTCCTTTCCATTTAGTTTCATAAAAATTTGATATAAATGACCACATTTACTTATAGAAGCTTTTATTTCTGTTCGTACCTCTGCGAGTTGATATGAACTCCAAGTGTAACTAAATCCAAGCTGTTAAAATAACAGCATCACTACATCATCTACTGAGATCCTCACATGAGATGAAAAGCCATTCAGATGAACAGTTATTGTTACTGGTTTGCCTTAGACCAGGGCTTCTCAAAGTACAGGTTGGGACCCCCTAAGACCCCCAACCATTGTGATATGATTCATGAGGCTTGTGGAGGGAGGAAATAAATCCTGAAAATACACATATGTCCCAAATTAACTTCTTATTATGGGATTTTTGCTTGTAGCACCTTGAGATAGTTATATAACCTGAACTACAAAAAAATACTGTTTTATCTTTTATCCCCAACTGGGAATATCAATGGATTTTCTGTTGTGTGCATTGTGAAATAATTCAGCCCAGGTTTAAACTGTATTTTAGATTTGAAACTAAAACCTACCACTGATGAGTCCAGGGGCCTTTGGCTGAAAAGCCGACTGTGTAGCTGCAAAGCGAATACCAACTTCAGCTCTACAAGGGCGACATGGACCAAGCAGGATCTGATTCAATTCAATCCCGTTTAATTTATATAGTGGCAGTTCACAACACATGTCATCTAAAGGCACTTTACAGATTCCAGGGTCCTGTTCCACGAAAGCTGAATTCAGGAATCCTTGAAAATGATCTAATGGATCCAACCTGATCAACGGATCCTGGCTTCATCCGTTCCTCAAACACCAAGCTAGGTTCACAGCTGCAGCTTTCTCAGGCCGGGTGTAAATATTCAAGCTTCTTCAAGAGAGCATGAGGTCAATCCCAGGTCAATTGATCAACCAACAAAAGCAGAATGACTAAATCCAGAAACAGAAACAAAACACAAATTTTCTAACCACTTTTCTTAAAACGTTATAATAGAAGGATTTACTTCTTCATTTTGAAAGAATAGTGGAATATATGGGAATGTATGCAGATCTCACAGTTTATTTTACATAATTTTTTTGCCCCGACATCTATTGGTTTAAGTCTTTGCTTTCAAAGCAGAACATTTTGGATTAAACCCTGAATTTATAAATGTTATTTGATATGAAAAACCTGAATAACATTCTGTTATTCCCAGAGTAGAAATTCTGTCCCATCCTTCAACAAAGAGAGACTATTTCTAGCCTCTTTCCCCATGAAAATGGCGGGTCCATGCATATTTTCAACCCGCTAACAATCAGAATTGACTTAGACTTAGACAGATTTATTTTGTCATTTTGTTTACACGAACGAAAACAAAAATAAATTTCATTTAAAACAGCTCTAGATAATTTCATTTTTTAAAGTGCAGCCTTGAAAAACATTAATAAATATGTTTAAAAAATAGTAAATTTATGACTATATTTACAGTTCTAACATAAAATTTTTTTATAAATAAAATAACCCATTTTACACAACATTCAGCAGTGTAATGGCAGTGGGGAAGAAACTGTTATGGAATCTGCTGGACCTGCATTGAATGCTGTGAAGCCTCTTCCCAGAGGGCAGCAGGGAGAACAGTCCACTGTGAGGGTGTGAGGGGTCATTGATGATGTCACGGGCTCGGGACGCGCAGCATTGGGATGAAATGTCTTTAATGGAGGGAAGAGGAGCCCCCATGATCCTCTCTGCTGTTCTCACCTTCTTCCAGTCTGAGGCGCTGCAGCCTCCACACCACACAGTGAGACAGCTGGTTAGAACGCTCCCTATGGTGCTTCTGTAGAAGGTGGGGAGGATGGGTGGAGGCAGGTGGGCTCTCCTCAGCAGGAAGTCCAGGTGTAAGATATACAGGTGCTGGTCATAAAATTAGAATATCATGAAAAAGTAGATTGATTTCAGTAATTCCATTTAAAAAGTGAAACTTGTATATTATATTCATACATTACATACAAACTCATATATTTCAGATGTTTATTTTGTTTAATTTTGATGATTACAAATGACAACAAATGAAAATCTCAAATTCATCATATCAGAAAATTAGAATATTACTGAAGACCAATAAAAACAAAGGATTTATAGAAATGTTGGCCAACTGAAAAGTATGAACATGAAAAGTATGAGCATGTACAGCACTCAGTATTTAGTTGGGCCTCCTTTGGCCTGTATTACTGCAGCAATGCGGCGTGGCATGGAGTCGATCAGTCTGTGGCACTGCTCAGGTGTTATGATAGCCCAGGTTGCTCTAATAGTGGCTTTTAGCTCTTCTGAATTGTTGGGTCTGGTGTATTGCATCTTCTTCTTCACAATACCCCATAGATTTTCTATGGGGTTAAGGTCAGGAGAGTTTGCTGGCCAATTAAGAACAGGGATACCATGGTCCTTCAACCAGGTACTGGTAGCTTTGGCACTGTGTGCAGGTGCCAAGTCCTGTTGGAAAATGAAATCTGCATCTCCAAAAAGTTGGTCAGCTGCAGGAAGCATGAAGTGCTCTAAAACTTCCTGGTATGTGGCTGCGTTGACCCTGGACCTCAGAAAACACAATGGACCAACACCAGCAGATGACATGGCACCCCAAACCATCACTGACTGTGGAAACTTTACACTGGACTTCAAGCAACGTGGATGAAGTGCCTCTCTTCTTTTCCTCCAGACTCTGGGACCTTGATTTCCAAAGGAAATGCAAAATTTACTTTCATCAGAGAACATGACTTTGGACCACTCACCAGCAGTCCAGTCCTGTTTCTCTTTAGCCCAGGCAAGACGCTTCTGACGCTGTCTGTGGTTCAAGAGTGGCTTGACACAAGGAATGCGACAGCAGAAACCCATGTCTTTCATACGTCTGTGTGTGGTGGTTCTTGAAGCACTCACTCCAGCTGCAGTCCACTCTTTGTGAATCTCCCCCACATTTTTGAATGGGTTTTGTTTCACAATCCTCTCCAGGGTGCGGTTATCTCTCTTGCTTGTACACTTTTTTCGACCACATCTTTTCCTTCCCTTCGCCTCTCTATTAATGTGCTTGGACACTGAGCTCTGTGAACAGCCAGCCTCTTTAGCGATGACCTTTTGTGTCTTGCCCTCCTTGTGCAAGGTGTCGATGGTCGTCTTTTGGACAACTGTCAAGTCAGCAGTCTTCCCCATGATTGTGTAGCCTATAGAACTAGACTGAAAGACCATTTAAAGGCTTTTGCAGGTGGTTTGAGTTAATTAGCTGATTAGAGTGTGGCACCAGGGGCCATCAATTTTGAACCTTTTCACAATATTCTAATTTTCTGATATGATGAATTTGAGATTTTCATTTGTTGTCATTTGTAATCATCAAAATTAAACAAAATAAACATCTGAAATATATGAGTTTGTATGTAATGTATGAATATAATATACAAGTTTCACTTTTTAAATGGAATTACTGAAATCAATCTACTTTTTCATGATATTCTAATTTTATGACCAGCACCTGTATATATACAAATAAATCAATATATATATATATATAT